TGGGATGCATAGCTTGAACTCATTTTACCTCCTTTTCACCTGTACACTTTTACCAAATGCTCGTCAAATAATGAAAAAATAAGATGATTCAATTGAGCATGAAAATTTCCTGTTGAAATTGTCAACTCGTTTCCCATTAACTGTGGTCGCCTGCTAGCTTCCAAGTTGGCGAACGGATGGCGCGCTTAACCCCGCCCCTCCCCTTGACACGCCCCCAGCATCCGCAACAAACAGACCATAGCAATGACACTTTCGTCCAAAGCATAGGGCAAATTACTTTTTACTATTGTAGAAGCAACACAAATTTACTCACCATTCCTCTAGCAGTTCCTATGGCGCTGAGACCGGCAACACCTCCTCCAATGACTAGCACTTTTGCTGGTGGGACCTACAAGAACCATAGATGCCATTTTATTCGGTGGCAATTTTCTAGAAAAATTATTTTGAAAAATGCTAAACGAAAGGAACCTTTCCAGCAGCTGTAATCTGACCGGTGAAAAATCGACCAAAATGATGAGCAGCTTCAACTACCGCACGATAACCAGCGATGTTGGCCATTGAGGACAGAGCATCGAATACCTAAGGAAAAAATATTGAAAATAAAAGAAAGAATGAGCGAAAAAGAAATTCAGAACAGAAAATTGACTATGTTGAAAAACAGATCAAATGAGAAATGTTGCGGGAGGCCAGAAGCAATAAGGCAGCTCAGATTCCATTTAGCTCGTGCCCTCAAACAGAAGCCTAAAGGGATTGGAGCCTAATAAATGTGAGGCCTGTGCTTTCCTATTCGGGCCAGTTGGACCCAAACATTCCCAGTATAGTTACCAGAGACTTTTCAGAGGCAACCCACCTGAGCCCTGGATATCCTAGGAACACAATCCATTGCAAGTAAGTTTAACTTCTTCTTTGCCAACTCATCAACAATAGATTTGTTAACAGCTGGATAGACGAACGAGATCAATGTAGAATTGTCCTTCAGAAGTGATGCCTCACTGGTCGATGGTGGCCGAACCTAAGAAGTACAGTAAGCTTCAGTTCAATGCAATTTAGCATAGAAGTATAACCAAAACCCAAAGGACAAAAGTATACCTTGAGGACAATGTCGGCCTTGAGAGCTGCGTCTCGATCCACAACTTTGGCCCCATGGCTTGCGTACTCCTCATCTGACCAGCGAGCTTCTGCACCAGCACCTTTTTCTATCTGTAATTATGCAGGAAGACCTTCATATCACAATATAATTTTTCTGAATTTTATAGGGTAACTGCGATCTGCGAGGGACCAGCTCCATACCCACAGTCCTCGAGAAATGAGTCAAGCAAGGTCCCCAGCCTTATGTTTAATGCGATGGGCTCGATGGCTGGGGGCGGGCGGTCACTGTTAGCAACATTGGTGGAAGGACTGCCAAAGGGCTTCTGTCCACACCCTCCCACCAATGACGTTGGCAACAGCCGCTCGCCCCCAACCACCGTGCTCACTGCCTTTGACGTTAAACCACCTCTGGGACAACACTGGAATTTTCTCTGAAGAGTCAAAGAAAAGTGAAACAGTCAAGTACTGGAGGCAGGATTTTCTCCCTAAAAGTTACTAAAAAGGCGATTTACGTGATCCTCAGGGAAGAAGTGATCGTGGTATGCCTGGGGAACCATATGTGGGACTGTCGTCGTAGCACTTTGTGCTATCTAGTCTCGTTCGGTGCGAATGCTGACGCGTTTCAGGGGTGCTGGGTTTGGCGCGGCGCCAGCTCGTTCCCCAACTGAGGGGCAGTCACAACAAGGGCAAACTGGCTGGCGCCGAGTCACCAAGCCAGTGAAACGCCCCAGCGTCCAGAGCGAACAAGACTGTAAATCACGTTGATCATGTGGGCCAAGTAGCTTGAACCAATGCTTCTTTCTAAGCTTCTCCCCTGTGTCTTCATGCACTTGGAAAAAAGAAGCCCACCCAAAAGGAAGCGCAGTGTGTCAAGCGACACCTGCCCCACGATCAGCTCAGTATGTGCATTCGAGAGCAACATTAGGGAAAATTACCAGCGAGTGGATCTTTACTCGGAACGTCTTTAAAGCACTTTTGTAACAGAAACTGCAACTTTGTGTTATACTTGCGCTAACTGATCTGTGAAGAAAAGAATCTGCTAGGAAGCCTCACTGGACGTTTTCGGCCAAGAAGATCGTTATGACTGAACTTATCTTCGGGAACAAACTGAAGGATTCTTGAAAAACATGCTAGGGGGTTAGAAAGTTTGAGAAGGTGATTGGCAGGATAGGCACAAGGGAGGGCGTTTTCGTAATTTTTTCCAAGGGCAGGATGTGCCGTGGTGGTGCAGCCGGCACGAGAAGTAAGAGCTGCCAAAGCATTTTTCATTGAACCGTCCTCACCAAAATGAAGATGTGAATGTGATGAGCGGCAACAAAAAATCGATTTCTACGCAAGTAAAGATACCCATATTTTATTTACTATCTCAATGTTCCCAGACTCTCTTGAGGTAAGTCGGACTCATTCTAGTTTGGCTAGAGAACTCAATTGCCTGCGTTTTTGAGTGATCTGCTGACGCTTCTCCTCTCATTTGTTTTGCAGTGCTTCTAAGTAAACACATACCTCCTGACTACTGGAGTGATTTTTAAAAAGTTACCCTGTACTTTCTATTTGCATAAACCTCTGAGAGATAAGACAAGAGATCGAGTTCGATTGGATAAACACGCTGAGTGTGAGTTTGTTAGCGCACATGCGTGTTCGATTGGATAAACACGCTGAGTGTGAGTTTCTTAGCGCACATGGTGCCATTTTACGACCTCAAATACGTCCCATCCAGAGCGATTCATGACAACAAAACATGTAACGAGATACTAGAAGACGCGAAATATTTTCTCCTAACGCACTGGTAGACGCGGAATATTTTCTTCTAAAGATGGTTTGCAGGGTCACACGCTTTCTACATAGTGGCAGTTTATTGATGTCTACTCGAAGCAAAATACCGTACCCTCACGAGCACATGTTTTTAAACACCACCTTACACATTTAGCCTCTACTGTCCTGCTCTGCAAAATTCAGGCGAGATTTTAGCCGAAATTTTTCGTGTCGATCTTCTCTCAAAATTCTCATAAGCTCCTACACACTGTGTTCAGTGGCCGACAACCCGCCCACCTCGAATATGTACGAATTTCTTATAACTTTCTCTAGTAGTTTTTTTTCGTCAATTCCACATTATAAAAGGATAAAAGAATGAAGACTCCGCCACTGGTCAACCGTTCGTGGAATGCGGCACGCATTCTACTTCCATTCAGAATCTAGTGGCTTTTCGAATGCGATGTGGCCTATAAAACTTGCAGGGTCAGCCGATGTACATGTCAGTGTTCTTGTTCTCCCAGACTAATTGTTACCTGCCAATCGTCCCCGGAGGGTAGGAGGCTTCGTTGGCCTGAGCGGGGGTCGACCCGGGATTTGTACCCAGGACTGAGCGAGTGGTGGGGTATATCCCGGTGATGGGAAGGGCGTGGAAGCGCACGTCATGAACGTGACAACGGCTGCTCTTGTTGGGAAGACATCGCCGTGATGGGAATATCGCAATCATGCCACTGCTCAGCGGAAGACATTATGACAGCTGTCCGAGATGCAAATAGCCCAGGAACAAGACAGTCTGCACAATGTACAACAAATGGAGCACGCGGGCACGCCTCCCCATCACCGATTAATGGTGTATACTTGATTTCATCCTCTACTTCGCCCAGGGTACAGCAACGTTGTATGAAACACAAAGGGGAGGGGCGCACTTTTCTGCTGAAGGGGGGGGGGCGTTCGGTCGTTGTTGGGAGAGGGGGTCGGGTGTGCCTTTGGGGGAAAAAGTTGCCACGTTGAGAAAAAATTACTCCCGGTTGTTGAATTTTCCTGTAATTTTTCCTGTTTCATGTGCACTATACTATACACCCCGCTCAACAGAAAAATTTCTGGATGAGAAACTGGAACTTGTGGGAAACCGGTAGGTAGGTGTTGGGGTTGGGGAAAGGGGGGCCGTATAAAGACCCTCCCTTGAGGGGGGGGGTCGTACCCACACCACCATTTCACACATTACGATGCTGTACCTTGACCTCGCCTCCATAATGGACGCACCGATTTGTATTTTTATTTAAATCCCCACAGTTCCTTCCCTCAATACTCGTTTAGATTCTAGCCTAATATCCCTCCCCGAATCAGATAAAAACATCGGCCAAAATCTGGATAAAAATATTGATCATAATCAGGCCTGGATTGCGGGACGTGAAAGGGTGCTTGGTGCCGTTTTTCGAATACTTTTGTATAACCAGTTGTATGCACTAATTTATGCTAGAGCGATAAATGAATATTTACGTAGATCTATCGCGAGATACTGCCATAAAAATATGGATTGTTTTCATTACAGTTTATTTTGTTCCGCTAACTATTTCCGATTACCCATAGCCCACCAACCTTGTGATAACATTTCAACACATTTTGGTACATTCTGTCCATGACCATTTTACTCCGCTCCCCCCCCCCCCTTATCCCAAAACTCTTTCTCTGGTACAATCCCTGCTCCCATGCTACGTACCATCTTCGCAAATTTTCCCAACTTTCTACCATCCTACTTCTTTTTACCCGAGCTTTCGAAAATTTTCTAGTTCTTCCCAAAAAACTCACGTCAAGCGGGGAGTGAGGAGGACGGGGGAGGAGATATCGTCACCAAACCGCTACTGGATTCAAATATCGAAAACCTTTGTTTTATAGCACGTTGACGGTCCCCGACTAGAGGTGGGGCTCTTCAGACCCAATACGGTCCCCCCACCCTCCTCTCACAGCCACAATAAATATGGTCAATATGAATACGTCCAGGGTACAGTATCGTGCTGGGTGAAGTGGTCTTCCCCCCCACGTCGAGGGAGCTTTTCGGTACGACCCCCTCCCCCTTCCCCTTCCGCAACACCTACCTAACTACTTCTCACATTTTCCAGTTTTTTCACAGGGAAAGTTTTCCGCGGAGCGAGGCAGGGGGGAACACATGAAACAGGAAAAATCAACAACCGGGAAAAATTTTCCCCAACGCAGCCACGTGTGACCCTTCTCCCAACAACGATCAAATAAACCCCCTCCCCAGCGGAAAAGTACGACCCCTATGTGCTTTACACAACGATGCTGTACCTTGAATGCGACACCCCCTTCCTCAAGGTTGTCATTGTTATGTATAGTTCGCATGAAACAGGAAAAAGCGATTATCAAAAAAAAACCGCCCAGGCCAAATCACCCTCCTCCAGTGACTAAATACGATCCTCGCGAAGGATTCCCAAGGATTGCCCGGTTTACAGCAAATTGATTTCCAATTTATATCTTGTAATAGGTTGATGAGTAAGTAGTAAGCATTCGTTTTTTCCCTGAAATATTTTGTCAAATGCTGAGCATAAAAAATACTAGTAGAAACACTTAAAATAATTTTAAAGTTCTCGATTTTTCCGAGAGACGTTCAAGGCTTTTGCTTTTTCTTGCGTGTTTATCAGTTCGTAGGCAGAACCTTCGTGAGCAATTGCGTCACTGAAAGGCACTCGGTTTAAAAAAAGTAGAAAAAAAATCCGCCACTGAAGGGTTTGTTCTTTGGCTGACAGCTGCTACTCGTTAATTACTGTTTGCGCTAATCAATTACTATTCCTGTTAAATTGTTATCGGTCATTTTTTGTTTCTTCTGGTTTCTGTCCGCAGGTCATCTCACATGCATATCTTCAAGCTATGGTTTGTTCACGATCATCGATCAAAGTCGTTCTAAGCGTTCCTGATAGGCAATCAATAAATTCTGCATCGGCGGCATTTAAGCACATCGCCTCTGAGCGCACGAAACAATTTGTGATCAATCAACTGGCCGTTCCGTTGCACGAAAAAAAGGAAAGAGCGTGCAAGCTTTGAGGTATCGAATGTCAGCAGTGTACTCTTGACCACTGTAAAGTACAGAGTCCAGAAAGAAATAAACACAGGAAAATAAGTGTTGTTAGTCCAGTGAGTTCCGTTAGTGTTATTTCCATAAGACTGAGGAAATCATTGAACCTGGTGTACCAGCCAATTTTTAGGATGCGCCACGCATCCCACTCTACTCGGTACCGTTGTAGAGCTCTAGTGAAACTGACCAGTATTATGGCCTTCGAGGCCGGTGTTTTCTCTTCGCTGGCGGGTTTGGCTCAAATCAACCGAACCTGGAGGAAATCCTGCTAAGCTTGGATGGAGCCCGACCTAGGATATGATCGACGGGCCTTATGCACCTGGTAGGCTCCATCGCTTGCCAGCACACCACCTCCGCCACACATGTTCATAGTCTTACAAGTAATTAACAACGTTTTTTGCCTTTATCAGCTGTCTTCAAACTCGACTGAGGAGAGCTTTCGTGGCTGATTGGGATAACAAAATGAAATCCTGCCAGATTCCTAGACGCGATTTTCTAAAACTGAGCGACTTCCAGTTCTTACTCCTTTGAAATACCAGCAGGGAACTACGCAGGTACTACTGTATAGTTACTTTACTGAATCGGCCTAACGTTTCGACCCGTCTCGTCGTCTCCGGAGGCCACTTTTAGGATAAAGACTACGAAACAGGTCGAAACGCTAGGCCTTTTCATTAAAGTTCCACCTGCTAACCTCTTCAAAGCACAGAAGAACTAACACAAATAGCAACTACTGTAAGGATTTTCGGCTCGTTACTTCAAGACATCTGGACTAAGATGTAGCCCTTTCTGCAGTTCACTCCGTTTGTAGTTCTGTTGTGACCATAACTGACATTTATTCCAGAACCACCACAGAACTCCTTTTTTGAGAAAAAGCTTAAGAGTAATCTTCAAGTAAAAGGTTTTTTTTAGGCGTGGAGTGAGATCCGACTGTAATCAGGGCACGTCCTGCCACTGGTAAACATTCTCCAAAAATACGACCTCCCCCGATTTCGTCCTCTGCTACGAGCTTTTCCGACTTCCTACCATATTTTTAGCACATTCTTCAAAATTTCTTGAGTTTTTGCTAGTTTTCTCACAAAAATTTCGCCGAGCGGGGCTTTATATAATACCACAGAAACCGTGAAAAAAGGTGAACAATAAGCCGCAACATGTTGTCGAAAATTTTTTTAGCCTGCATACGACCCCCCGCCTCCGCCCAGCGACTAAATATGCCCCTCCCGCTGGAAATTTCCCAACGTAGGACATTCCCTCATTGGAATTACCCTTGGAGCAGGCGGGTCAGCGTTAAGCGGCGCCGTTACGGCTCGTATTATGGAAGGGTCAAATTTCGATATCAAATCTCGCTCAAGGAAGCCTGTGGGGTTCGGTATTTAGCCCTGGCTCCTTCCATTAGACAACCACTCCGCCATCTCACTGGCTGCTCCACGCTTGTCATTGCATGGTTCCAGGGCTTCTGTCAACCGGGTATTATCTCGCTACAAGGATACAGAGGTGTTTTCTCAGCTCAATTACTGAATGAGCACTTGAAGGGAGGAAAATAATGAAGAGGGAAGAGGGAAGGATGGAAAGAAACAAAAGGAGGAAGAGAAAAGGGAGGACGGAGGCCTCGCGGTTGACAGATGCCCTGAGACCGTCGTTACATATGCTTTATGAGCATTCAAATTCTATTTTGATTGATAATGGAATGGGCCTTCTTCAGGGGATTGATGGACGCAACAAAAGACAGTTCGGACAATCCATTTCACTTGATCGAATGCGATTAGTGTACTGTTTAATACACCAGCTGGCCCAGCTGCTGCCTCCACTTTCGCAACTTCTCACGCTCCGGGCAACTGCAGAGAAAAACACCAAGAAACGAACACAATACCTCAATTTCCTATGTGTACTAGGGCTAAATTAACGCGGAAAATGGGTGATCGCGCCACAAGATGGGGCCGCTTTGGGGCATCTTTAAGCATCTTTTCAGTAATATTTTTGTTTGTAATGCACTTTGTGAGCACGAGGATCTTTAGGCTTCAGGCGACAAAGCGTTCGTACCCTGACATGTGATAGGATATCCCATTCCGTGCAACATAGCCCGAACAAAGAACAACGATAGGTGCAAAGCGACGCACGTTCGCAAGACACTACAAAGAACGGCAAACGGGCTGACGGAAGAACGTTTTAACAGGCATGACGAGAAGAAAACGTTCAACGCAGCAATCAAATGGCGATTGAAGTTTTTTTGAACGAAAATTTGATTTTCTCTCAAAATCAAATTACCTGCACATTGAATCCTTTCGACGAAAGCTGTTTCACTGCAGCTGGACTTAACGCGACACGTCGTTCACCTGACAGTACTTTGATAAGTACTTTGTTACCAACAACAGTTTCGAAAGATATTATGGCTGGCATTCGATTGTGAGACTTCAGATTGATTGGAAGATTCATAGAAATTACAGCAGTATAGGAAAGAATTAGTTATCTTTCACGAAGGCGTCCAAGAACGATATACTTGGGAGTGTTTCGGGAGAATTTACTTGGGAGTTTTTCGGGAGATAGTCGATCGAATAACAACCTTTGAACTACAGTACTTGTCTTTAAGTCTCCCCTACTCACCTGCAAATGTCTCCTTGACAGCTGAGACGGTCAACTTATTAAGAGGTACACCTTCAACCTGGGTGCAGAATAGGCGTCCTATAGACGGACCATTTAGCCGAATATGTCTTAATCGATGCATTAATCAGATCAGGATCCAGCAAATAGTCACCACCACCGACGAACTTTGCTGGGCATGTGATGAAGCGATCAATGCCCCGTGTAGCACACGCCCTCTGTGCTGACCGATGCTCTACTGAAATATCACGCAAGCACGTACCGAAGGAAGGAATAAAAAAACTGATTTGTAATGTAGTTCGATACAATGCGTGGGAAAGTATCAAGGACATCGTGGGTGAAAGCGACGCTTGTTACGATAGTGACACAATTAGCAGGAAATAGAATAGTTATAGGTAAAGTTCGTGCAGTTACAAGGTGTTAATGACCTTCTTCAATCTATGACAATCAATTGATAACAGGAACTATCTGTCAATCAGTGAAAGATATCTTTTCAGAGGAATCGATCCTATAAGTTTTCATGGTCTCTGGTTTTCGGAGACCTTTCCTGCCTATCTCCTTCCGTCCCCGCGGATCTTACACCGTGTTTCAGTTTACTGACATACTTAAAGGGCACGATGCGCTATAGTAGTACAGGTCCGCAATTGGACCTCCGTCGAATGAAAACAATTTTTATAAAGACCTATGGTGTGACGTCATTGGGTGAAGTGTCATTTCACGGTCAGGGTACAGCATTGTTGTGTGAAACACATAGGGGGGTCGTGCTTTTCCGCTGGAGAGGGAGGTGTCGCATTTGGTCGTTGTTGGAAACGGGGGGGGGGAGTCGTATGTGGCCTTGTGACTTGTGAGAAACTTGCGCGGGAAAACAATTTCTTCTCCGGTTGTTGATTTTTTGATTTTTCCTGTTTTATGTGTACTATCCACACTCCTCTCCTCCCCCGCCCCAGCCTCCGCTCAACGGAAAATTTTTCTGTGAAAAATTGGAAGAGTGGGAAATTGGTATGTAAGTGCTGGGGACGGGTGCGGGTCGTGCCGAGACCCTCATTTGAGTGGGGAGCGGCTCGTAGTGATACCCTCTCTTGGGGTGGGGGTCATAGCTACCCCACCACTTCACATATCACGATGATGTACCCTGTTCACTGCACGTTAATTACTGCTGGATGCGTTCTCGGGACCTATGCTTTCCACACCGTTTACAGTTTGGTACTTTTACCACTCGGGTACATTCAGTAATTTGAGAGAAGTTCCTTTAAGGTAGATAAACCAGACAAGCGGAGGCAGGGTCCACGCACAAAATATCAGAAACAGAAATAGTTAAAAAAAACTTTTTGCGTCCTCATGTTTTCACATTAACCTCCTGTTAGTTAGACGGTAGTCAGATTATTCAAAAATGCCACATTCATTAATTTATTTGGATTACACCCTAGGATGCGCCACATACTCGCGAAATTATCTGGAAATAAGAATACCTGGATGTTTTGCTTCATTTGTGTTTAATTTTCATGTCGGTTGCACTTATTTTCAGCAACACAACTTACAGTAGGCCCAGTGACCATAAGTATGCGGTGCCGTAAGAGTACTGGTAATTATTGTTAGAGTAGTGACCATGGCGGCCCATAGTACTAGAGCGCCGTGTCCGTTCCTTTCCTTGGATGCGAATAGTCTTAATAGTCACAAATATGATAGCCCTACACATATTCTTTTGCAAAGGTCAAATATGGGCTTTGGAACTCTACCAGCTAGCTACTTTGTAAAGAAACTAAGCGTAATGTATAGAGCACTCACCGGGGGGGAGATGCGGGTTGAGTCCCGCTAGGGTCGGACTTCTACCCTTAATTCACATTCTTATGCTGATTTTTGAGCGCGGACTGAGGCGTTAAAATAGCAGTTATCATACTGAAACTTCTTTAAAGCACTTCCACGAAATGTTTGAGCGTCCACAGTGCATAACTGAGAACAGTGGGGGCGTTCCGCGATGGCTGCGTAATTCAATCGACCCCCGTTCCACGTTTCTACCTCTTTTTCAATCTGGACCTTACAACACAGCTACCTGTAGATAATTCATTAGCATGGTTCGGAAGCCTACTTGTGATGATCTGATTGGTGAGTGCCAAAGAACGAAGGACAAAAAAAACAAAAAATAAAACAAAATAGTAATCAATATATGATTCATTCGAAAACAAACAACACAAAAAAAATCCAGTGTCTCAAAAAACAAAAATGAATTGAAAAGGAAACATTTTAGTGCACACACACTCAGTTCAACGTTTAACATGAATCTCAAGTTATGACAGACGTTTCACCCTAAAAGCTAAAAAAATTTGTGGGAACCACAGAAGTCGCGCTTCAGCCAGTTAAAGGAACGATTGACGATGACCTATGAAAATGCAAGTGGTTATGTGGGAAAGTAGTGCGGTCCGGAGTGGACAACCCTGTGCCAGTTTGCGCGGCGGAAAGTTGTACAGTAAAGGAACTGAGGAGCAAAGTTGCTTTAGTGGTACATGCCTTTTTCCACTGACTCCGCCTCCAGACTCCGCCCCAAAGCCGCTTCCAGCCAAAGTAATTCTCCCGGTAAGTATCATGGAGTGGATGCATTCAATGCTTCTTTTAGAGTCATAGGGTCATTAACGGAATGCCGGAATTGTCACAGCGCGCGTCTTTCCGGTCTTTTACCTCTACAGTTGTTTGAGGGCTAGAGGAGGTCTGACGAATGCGTTTCCAACGTTCCCTTCAGCATTTCCTCTTCATAGACGGTTCGCTTGGCTAATTTTTCTTCCACATTTCTGCAACATCACCTAAGCTTTTATCGCGGACCCTGCCTTCAACCTCAACGATTCTCATGTTTCTGATACTTTCCCTTCCTTCTTAATAGGTTCAAATAGCGCTCGAATTTGTTTGCTTATCAGCGCGCAGCGCTTCTCGACACGAAACCCGCGTAATACTGTAGAGGAATTGTCCAGCTGGCCAGTTCCGCAACAATGCGATTAGCATGTGATACCGGTAATCGGTGGAAATCAAGTAGGAGAAATTTTGATAGAAACAGTAGTGAAGAGAGAGCAGAGCACAGGTAGGAACGGTAACGCGAGGTTTTTGGAGGGAGACAAAAAAGTGCCGAGTCCCACCATGATGATGAATTTTGACATATTTCCGCTCGCTACGTTTATTCATGTTGAACTCAGGTACAGTGAATATTATGGGGATGTGGTGTAAAATTGTCAGTATATGACACGTACCATAACGGCCCCTCTTCTCAACTTTGAGGCGACCCTCTGAAACTCTCCGCTACGACCACAACCCAACATCTATGTACTTTCCCGGATTGTTTTGGTCAAGCGAGGGAAAAAAGAGGGTATACAATATAAATAGCTGGTTTTCCAGAATTTTCACCCATCCTTTATAAATGCCGACTCTCCAAACAAGCCCAGGTACGATCCGTCTCCTTCATAACTAAATACATATATACAACTTCTGGTATGGATTAAACTTCCATCATATTCTCTGCTTGGAACTTACTTCGGAGCGTACTGATTAACTACTCTACATATAGAGGACTGACTAACAGGATAATAATTCTAGTTGTGTGACCATGCAGTTAATAGTAAGAGCCAGTGCGCATGAAAAACAAAAAAGAATCGATTGAACAAATAGTCCGGAAAAACAAGAACTGAAAGATTGAAAGGGCAACAGCAAAAGAAGGTTCAGCTGGTGGATAATAAATCAACTTGGGGGGGGGTCGTATGTAGTTCATTAGTTAAGGATTATTTGCTGTCTCAGGTCTGCTAAGCGCAATGTACGTATCCCTCTAGGTGTTAATGATGCCGCTTGTTATGTTTGATAGTCTGATTGGGCCTGCCCCTACTACTCTACGCAAGTTATGGTAGAGGACGTATTTTAAATAAATTTCCTATCGCTATCGTTGTAGCTTGCTTGAGGAACAGGGCAAGTTGCGGAAAATTCTGCTGAATAGAATCAAGTTCTAAATCTGAAACTTCTATTTTTATCGGGACCCTTCACAAGCTAACTACCATTTAACAGGCTGATCTAGAAGTTTAAATTTTGATGTCGAGCGGGGTAAAGGGTTGAGGAGGAATGGACACATCCACACGAATATCAGAATTAGTAATCTCGTCGCCCGCTGGCTAGCCGGATAGAGCACGCATGTAAATAAAAACAACTCAGGATTCGAAAAAAACTATTTTAGTAAATGTGGCTCCAATGAAAAACCAACGAGAGGAAGCTGAAGAAAAGAAAAACCCTATCTTAAAAAAGTAAAATAATGACACTGAGGGTAAAATAACGTCTACCAGCTTTAAATGAAAACTGCATTGAGAGGGGGACCATTGATCCGATGAAATCGACTTATCTGAAGAAATCGCCCGAATGTAAGTAGAAAGAGTTTTGTTTCGCTGCGGACGTTGGAACTTTGTGAGAGGCTGAGCTTTAAGGGGCGCCAGTCTGTTGTCCACACTGTGGAAGCTGGCAAGAGACCACAATTGGCGAGATTAGGTTGGCGCCCCGCCAAACCCAACCACTCCTCCACCCCCTAAGCTCAGCGAGAACAGGACGGCGTACATACCTTATTTCTTCAAGAGCACAGCCTGGTGTTCTATTGAAACATACCTCACGACCGCCACAGAGAAGCGGGACTGGTTTCCGAGAAAACCCGGGTAAATGTATGCAATGGATAGAAAAGATGAGAGGAAATAATAAAGGAAGCAAGGGAAAAGGATATCAAAAAGCGAGACAAATTCCGAGTTTCATTTCCAATCAGTTGGAAAAGCTTGGCAAAACTGCGGAGGAAACGGCTTAATGTCCGCTCTCCGGATTAAATGAGCAGTTGTCAAGGGCAGGACATAGGGCAGAAACTCCCGAACACATCTGTTTTTGGGTGTTCTCTCAACCAGCTAGGTATTTGAGAATGTCGGTCGTATCTACCACGCCACCATCTGCGTCATCTATGGTATCGTTTAAATTTAAGTACGGGCGAAGGGAAGACAATGACAGATGGCTCCGCTATCGCACGCATAGTCCAGAATCGAACCACGAATCGAATATCGCTCTTACTAACCAAGTCTTTCTCCATAACGGGATGACTAAGTCCAGACAACCGAGAGAGAAAATAGT